ACTACGTGATTTTTTTTTACTTATTTTTTAAAAGAAACAATGAGGTGTTATTTCTGGTAGATCTGTTAGGCTAGATTTTAATGAAAAATAGTTTAAATTTTAATGAAAAAATAAAACCCCTCTAAAAGTTGTTGGCCACAAGAGGGCATCAGATAATCTTTTTATTGTCAATGCTAAAGGTTGGATTCCAAGTAATGTCCCCTTGATATGAAAAGAGGTTTTAGCCTGAAGGTTTACTTCCTATAGTGGTGGAAATTTTTAAGTGTTCCATAGTTATATACAATTAACATTTCTTGATTAGTATTTTTTATGTTCTAGAAGTGGTGTCCATACAATAAAATATATGTACAAAAGAAAGATACCCTGAAAGCACTTCACCCCTGTGGCAGATACAGCCTCTGCTGAAATGTTGGAGGGAGGGAGGGAGGGAGGGAGGGAGGGAGGGAAGGAGGGAGGGAGGGAGCCATGTTTCCTTCTCTGTACCTCTCTTAGATCAGCATATGGAAAAAGTGTTTTCAGTCTCACTCCTAATATCTATCTCAACTATTAACCAATAAGGAACATAATGCTAGGCCTTTTTTTTGGTGGGGGGGGGCGCTTTTTCGAGACAGGGTCTCTCTGTGTAGCCCTGGCTGTCCTGGAACTCACTCTGCAGACCAGGCTGGCCTCGAACTCAGAAATCTGCCTGCCTCTGCCTTCCAAGTGCTGGGATTAAAGGTGTGCGCCATCACTGCCTAGCAATGCTAGGTGTTCATAAGCCGTATCTTTGAGCAAACTGTAAAAGAGCTGTATTATTTTAGTTTGTCAATATTTTAGGGATTAATCATTAAAATAGGCTGTCCCTGATGTCAAGGGTTGTGGAGCCCATTTTAATTTGTCAGCATGAGCAGATTACTGATGGCTTGGACATCCTGACAGATTTCAAGTGTTACTTCAGTACTAAAGTGCATGGTGTACAAAAGTAATAATGTTTGTTGGGGAAAATTCCATAAATTACCACCGCAAAACTACCTCAAAGTTTGATGTCATTCCTGCAACTGCCACAGAGATTTCACCTTTTTGACTTTACATTTTAAGTCTGTTGGCATTCCCTTGTAAAATTTGAATTGCTACTTAACTTTTTTCCCCTTAGCTGTGGCTTATTGTTTGCTCATAACATAGTAAGAAATTTCAGTCAAACTCACATAAATACATACTGAAATGCTGAGAACATTTTAGTTTTACTTTTGGTGAACTTTAACCTTGATTTGTGTTGTTCTGTGAACACAGAGAAGTACTCGGCTTTTCTTGTTAAAAGCCTGGTGTGTCTTAGAAGAGTCCCAGCTTTTCCAGACTACTGGTCTCCATTCCTCTCTTTCCTACTGTTCCCTAGAAATGTTCTTATTGCTGACAGTTCTGGGACTATGTGAGAGGGAAACTGTCCTATTTAACATTAAAGGAACACACTGCCAGTGGCCAAAATTCATGTAGGAATAGCTAACCTAATATGTCACTTAATCATAAGCTTCTTTTCAAGGGCAAAATAATTCATTCTTTCATTCACTTAGTTTGTGCTGATTCCATAGAACTGTTCTATATAGAAATTCCAGCAACTTGAAGAAACTAAATGTATACTGAAAAGTTCATTAGAAATGTATTTGGGAGTGGCTTACTATGAATAAAATGAGAGCAGCTGCAAATTATCTACAACTAAGACCACTGATAGTCTGCTCGGCTGGACTTTCTGACATAGGGTGTGTGCGGACTCTGAGAACCGCGGCATCTGCTTTTGGTTTTCTTCCCTCTTTTGTAGTGCCTAACAGCACTGAGTCCTAAATCCCAAGACATCTGCATCCACACACTCATTTCCCTGCTTGCTGTTAGACTGCAGTCCATATAGGGTTTGAGTCCTCATCTTCTCCACAGGAGTGTGAACATCAACACACATCTCTCAAGTCCCAACAGTCCAGCACTCTCTCATGCTCCAGATAGACAGGCATTTCAGCATTGTCAGTTCCCTGTTCAAGGAATTCGCTCCACTCGTGTTCCAAGCACAGTTCCATGGCCTCCTTCCAACATTTACAAGGCCAGCTTTCCCCATCTATAACGTGTCTGCCATGGTTATTGGTACTGTGGTCTACCCTCTTGCTGCCAACTTTTTGCCTATAGTAATGATTGTTTTGTTCCAGGTGTAACTCAGTTGCCAGTTATTATTTTGCCTATACGTTTAAAAAACTGGGAACAGAAACATGGTGGTGAGGGTTTGTCTTGTGTCTCCCACTGTATCGCCGTCATTCTTACTGTTTGAAATACAATTTTTAAAAAAGACCAAAGCAAGCTACTCAGACCCAGTTACTAACTTAGAAAGACACGCTGTTTAGTTCTGCTTCCCTGAAAGTCGTCATCGCATCTTTCCAGCAAGAGTCATAAAGACACACTGATTGGTAGCTCATCTGCTTCCACTTGGGGAGCACGTATGTTTAAACGGCATTACCATCCCGTTTTGTTTTTCAAAGATTATAGACTCTGGAGAAAAGAAGAGGCAAGTGAAGGTATCACTCGTGTTGATGGTAAGTCACTATAAGTTAAACCTGGGCAGTGACGCATGGCTTTAATGCCAGCACTTGGGAGGCAGAGGCGAGCAGATCTGAGTGAGGCCAGCCTGATCTAGCGTTTGTTCCAGTATAATGTCTTGAAAAACAAACAAAATCACCACATATTAAACAGAAAATTATGCAGATATTCCATATAAATTTTGACTGTTTGGTTAGGGCCTTTGTAGTTTGCACCCATTGGTATTATCAGTTGAGCTGTCCCCAGCACCCCAGATTCTGCTGTGGAAACGTAATCCTGATTGCATGAGTTGGGAAGCTGCTCTGAACAGATACTACAGTTACGTCAGGTGAGTTCTCCGTTGGGTGTAAATACAGTATGACTGATGTCCTCGAACGAAGCAAATATGGACAGAGACAGGTATTTATAGAGGAAAAAATAATGTGAAGGTGACAGGGAGAAAAGACCCATGGAAAAGCCAAAAAACGGATGCTTGAACAGTCCGTCTCACAGCTCCTGGAGGAAGCCCTCCCTGCCACTGCCTCGACTGAGGCCCTCTGGCCTCAAAAGTTGGAGACATCAGTTGCTGTTACTTAAGCCTCACCATCTGTGGTAGCTTGTTACAAAAGGAAGCCCTAGCAAACAAATACAACTATACATAAAGAAGTCACTTGTAAATAACCAGTTTCAGAAGACCAATCATTTAAAGACATCAACTGACACAGTACTGTAAGATTTTTTTGAAAACTAAAAAGTCTAAGAAACGATGTATTAGGCATCTTAGCAGGTCTCCCTAGATTTTTACACTAAAAAGTATTAGGATATCAAAATTAGGTAATGTGCTACCTACCTAGAATAACATTTATTTCTCAGCTTTTCATTAGCTCGTTAAATCATCACAACCAAGGACAGGACTTCCTTGCTGTTCTCTAATACTTAGCAACATTGAAAAGTCATTTTAGTAACTTTGCTTCTACTTCAGAAACACCAGCAGAAAACCTTAAAGCCCTGAGCTTGGTTTGTGGGGCTGGCCTGTCATCTGCTGCCATTACTGCATTTTGAAGTTATATTCAGTTATGGCTTAGATACATACTAGACAACTTTAATGATAAGATACTTTACATTCAGTGTTGCAGTGTTTACTCAGCTAGCCAAGCTTTTGTCTGGTGTTTAGAGTTATTCTGGTTAAAATATGGTCTATGTTAAAGGCATTCAATTATACACCATACTTTCACCTGACATTCTATTGTAATATGAACTTTAAAATTCAGACTTGAAATTCTGTGTATTATGAGTATCTCAAATATCAAGGATGACTACAAATATCTGTCATGCCAATTCTCTAAAACCTTCCAACACTTCATGAGGTTGCCACCAGTTAAGCTCATGAAATTACAGTTAAGTGAAGCAACCAGTAATCACCAGCACTCCAACATGTCCTGTGTTCTTCATCTTAGCCTGAGTAGGAAATCTCACATTTTCTCTGAGCCAAGTTTGTTCTTAAGTGGACCTGATGAACCTTCTAGCCCAGGCAGTGCAGGGACAATAAGCAGAATTTAAAGACATTTCATTTCAGCAACTGGGGCAGAGGCAAGGCTACTACTGACATCTGATGAGTAGAAGCTAGAAATGCTACTCCCATTCTACAGTGCACAGGACAGTTGCTTATAGTAACAAGATGCTGGCAAGGCTGAGGCTGAGACAACTTAGTAAATAACCACATTATTCTTCAACGTGTATTCTTACCAAAATGCCAATCCCCCATTTTCTTGAAATCAGCATTTCAAGCCCAAGAAAATAGCTTTAAACCATGAGATGATTGTTGCTGTGATTAGAATGTTTTTGCTCTTCTGAAATTCTCATCTTGAATCAACTCTCAATGGCTAATGTGATGGGGGCGGACGGGATGGGGGGATGGGGAGGGGAGACACTTTGGAAAATGGCTTGAGGGATCCCACCCTCTTAGTTGGAATCAATATTCTTATGAAAGGCATGAATGAGCTTGTCTTCCCTCATTCCACTTTAGGAAGACACAACTCTATCAGACTCTTCTGGTGCTATCTGTGGTCTTGGGTTTGCAGGTTTCCAGAACTGTAAGCAGAGTTTGTTTATAAATAAACCAGAATAAGAGATTCTGTTAAAGCAGCGGGAAGGGACCAAAACATGCTTATGTGTTTAATATGCATTTATAAACACTCACTTTTAATTCACCTGAAAAATGTGAGTTGATTTCTAAAATTTTGGAATTCCAGGAGCTTCAACCTCCACATTATACACTGGCATATGTGTGGCGTGGCAAACAATATTATGTATGTTTCATTAATATATGATGATTACATTCTTTTATTCTTCTTGTTCAAGCGATGAGGTTGACAGAGGCTTGATACAGGAAAGCAAGAAGGAAAGACACACTGAAGCTTTGGTAGGTGTCTGTAAAAGCAAAAATAAAGCCACACCGCAAGGCAGGGGACTGCTTTCTTCATTTTATTTCAAAAGTACACAAGGTCACAAAACTAAGAGCAAGTTTCTGTTTTTAAACAAAATTGTTCTTACAAACTTTAAAATCTGCATCATTGGATATGTAAGCCAGATATTTGAAATACAAAATCTGAAACTGACACTACCAATAACTTTACAAATGTGAGTGTCAAATTAGTATTCTTAATACAAGCTGTGTTTATTGCCAAAATTCACAAGTAGGAACAAGAATAAGTCAATTGGTGAATCGTGGTCTTCTTAGCACCTGTGTCATTAAACAAATTAGCTCATCTTTGGCAGACATTTTAGTGTCTGAATAAACACAAAGCCCCAAACTGATGGCCTCTATACTCTAAAGTACAAACTGGACATATTTTGTATGCTTGAACTTAGAGCTTAGGGGCAAGTTCCGGAAGGTAAACAAATGGCCTTCCTAAAGGAGAAATAACCACAATTCACAAATTTATTTATTCCCTCTCTTTCTGTAATATTTTCAAAAGGAATCTGCTTGCTCAAATACAGATTATTTTAGTGTCAAAGTAGGCAAACTTGACTGCAGAACATGTTGCCTTTATTGCTGGAATATCCAGAGGCATTTGAAATATTAAAACTTGCCCAGAACATTTATACTATGAAACACAATGTTATAAACATATGTACATATGTAATATATAATGTCACAAACCACTTAAAATTGTGCCAGCCGTTTTCTACACACTACTCTGTAAGTGACACAGTTAAAGCATTCACCACATAAAATAGGAACATTATCTGTTCACACTGAAATAAGGCAGCTGAGAGCACTCTAAACACTGTTGAAAATATTTTAGAAAAAACAGAAACCTATGAACATTCACATAGCTTCAAATTTACATGCTATACACATAGACAGTAGTTATTTAATAAGTCACACATTAAAGAATAGCCAACTCCATGCAGTGAGTTCTTTTTTAATCGTAAGGTTTACTCGCCTCTTCACTTAATCTAATTCCCAGGGCATGGTCTGAAATTCATTTCTTAAAAGAATTTAGATTCAAATCTCAGTCTTTTTGCCCATTCGAGATAAAATACTGTATTACTGAGTTCAGTCTCCAGGTGTTAGGTCTCTTGCTGTAGCTCAGGCCTGCTCTGAACTGGCTACTGGCCTCAAACCCATGATCTTCCTGTGCCTCTGAGTGCTGGGATCATAGATGTGCAGAGTCACATGTAGCAGAAATTAGGCATTTCCATAATCTGTATGGATCTTCCCTACTAAACACACTTAGTCTGTGTTTCCATACTAACAGAGCCTTGGGAGATAACTCAAATATAAGTAAGTATTTGTCTATGTAACGGAGAAATCATGAAAATCAATACCAGACTTTGAGTATTAGGCGAGGCTTTCTAACAGGAAAACACTACTACGATTATCAATAGTAATACTCATAAACTATTCTGTATTCAGAACACAGACTATGGAATCCAGTGTCACTTCTCTCCAGATTACCCCATGGAACATTAAAATATGGGTTAAGTCTCTCGTTTATAGAGTGGAATCAGAAAGCTCTGCTGTGAAGCCAGTGCTGGCCCTGAACTCATACTGGCTCTGTAGTTAAGATGCACCAACAAAGTTGGTGAGCTGGTGACCATTACTAGTATTGATTCTAGAGCAAATATTTGTTCCCTGATTCAATCAAAATCAGAGACTTGTCTGGGAAATTCTTAGTACTCCTCTGACCTTTAGGTAAACTGAGACTTAACAATGAGAAGCCTGCAGACCAAACCCTAAAACTTAACCATATCTGATTCTATATCCTTCAGGCCTGTTGGTTTTCAATGTTGTGTTTTGTTTTTAAAACCAGTTTCTCTCTCAGATTACAGCTGCTACAGATCTGGACTAAAAGTAGTTGGATACTCTAGGTTGTGTTTGCCTTTAAATAAAAACAAAGTCTAAGGAAAAGATTCCGCACATCTGCTTTTGTCGTAGTTTCTACTTAGCATAATCTTCATTACCTACAAATCATTAAGATCTACTTTCCAGTTTATTCTTGTAATATCTTAGAAAAATGCTAAACATCTGAGAGTCAGCCGCGGCTATGGGTATAAACTAGAAACACAGTCAAAGCGTACTGAGAGGGTGTGAATTTCCTTTAAATCCTAATAAACAATGGTATCATTTAAGTGACATCAAGAAGAGTGGAGGAGAAAAGGCAAGACTGAGACTCTAGGGGTAGAAAGGAGCCACAGTGGTGTGCTGCTGAAAACAGTACCTTCACCTCTAAGCACCTTCAAGGTAGGTGATAGCTAGCTCATAGGCACCAGAAAGTCATTGTAGAAATTAAATTACCTAAAAAGGCACAGATGAAAACAACACAAATATAAAAAGTAATTTTATGTGAGGCTTAGGCCTACTTTTAAAAAAGGCTTCCAAATATGTAAAACTGTACACGAATCCATTACATGGACATTCAGTTTAAGTTCACCATTAAAAAGTATACACAATAGTCTGCCTAACCGTAAATGCATGCCAACATTAATTTATAATGTAGCATTTACCAGCACAGCACCTGAAGAGATTAACAGAGACCAGTTCCCTAGGGGAAAGGTTTTGCAGGTAAAGAAATCTTTTATCATCACAGACCTTATCTACTATGAAGAAAATGCTGGCTCATTACACTCTACACACACTCCCTCACAATCTTAAGGGATATACAATAAATTCACTTTTTTTTCCTACGAAAACTATATTTAATACATTTGGCAGATAGGAGTAGTCCCTTTACTCCTTTTAAAATTTCTTTTACGAGTAAGTCACTTTCACAAAACTAAGACTCAACCTTGATCTCTGTCAACTATCAAGAGGCAGGTTTGGCCACAGGACATCAAGCACATTGCCCAAGTCTGGAATTCAGGACTAGTGGAAGACGCTTAACTTGCCTCAAATATCTTTGATCACTGACTCTTAGAGAAAAACATCCTCCAGGAACCGTACTCCAAATCAAAAGCCTAGATTACATGTTTCTACAACATAAAATATGCAGTTCGGTCTGCCACAAAAGAAAAACACAAATTTAAAAATCAGTAATTTGAGAATTCTCATCCATTACTGCCAGGTAAGTGAATTAATAGTTTTCTTTCTTTCCTTCCCTCTGTCCCTCCCTCCATTTCTTCCTTCCTTTTCAATTGCAAAAACATCACCTAAAGTAGAAAGGCAGTGTTTAGCTGCAGACTGACAAATCTGGCCCCCTCATCCTGCCTGGTCAGACTTTTGCGGCCGTCCAAAGTCCCCGAGGCAGACACGCTCCTCATTGTTCCTCCTCCTACCCTCACCCGTGTTGCATCAAGGGTTTCAGCTCTGTGTGTAGCAGAGGCAAATGCTTCTGAAGCTGAAAGGTGCTTCTTTTTGTAGTGCACAAAAGGTTACTTCTTCCTGTTGCCTCTGTAGTGTATTAGTTAAATACTTAAACTGTTCTACAGCCAGTATAGTGATACAGACTTGTGAGCCTAGCATTCATGAAGCTGAAGCAGAAGATCATGATTTGAGGCCAGCCTAGGCAACAAACGGATTGAGGCCTTATCGCAAAACAACAAGAAAGAAAGAAAGGAGGAGAGAAAGAAAGAAAGAAAGAAAGAAAGAAAGAAAGAAAGAAAGGAAGGAAGGAAGGAAGGAAGGAAGGAAGGAAGGAAGGAAGGAAGGAAGAAAAAAAGAAATCATGTCATAGATGTTTATGAGTGACTTAGAAATAAAACTAGTCATTTCTAAAACACTGTAATGTCTCCTATTCTTACAGATAATCAAATACACTTAAGAATTCTCAGACTATAAAAACAACTTCATACATTAAGTAGTTTTTCCATGGATTTTTTTTTAATTTGAGAGTTACTGTTGTTCATAAATAAATGAGACAGATGTCCTAAAAATAATGGTAGAAACTACAAAGTATCATTTTTAGATGATTCAAGAATCAACTTGGTATGTTTGTAAATTTGCAAATTTCTTGACCCATGACATCATATTCAAAGTGCTGTATCTTTCTTAAGATATACAATAAGGGCATTATTATTTAGATGCCCTTAAAATGAACTTGGTAAGAAACCTCAAATTCTCCAACTGGTCAATGCCATTACTCCTAAGCCTTTAAGGTTTCACTCTAACCAAAAAAATCTTATGGAGCATGTTTCTTATAAACTTCTTCATATATATATATACACACGTGTGTGTATCTGTACATATATATATACACATATATATGTACAGATACACACACACACACACACACATATATGGGCTACTGTTAACAAAATTTAGAATAGAATGAGTTTTGATATGTCAAGAGAAGAAACGAGCCATGGAAAGCAGAAAAGAGAGGTGCAGAGTCCTATACTATAGACCCGTCCTTGCTCTGTGCCGGAATCATCACGGGGATGGCTCCCATCCGGCTTAGATTAGGGGCAGCTACCTTAGCGGGTGCCAGAGTCGGACTCTGAGGAGCACGTTCAAAGTCTTCACTGGGGACCTGGTTATACTGAGCCTTGGAATACCCCTCCATGTTGGAAGGGGACATGGATCCCAGGGAGGAATGGTTGCTGCCAATATAGCTCCTGGCAGTGGATGTCCGACTCTTTGGAGGAGGCACATCTTCCCTGGAAAACAAAGTCCCCAATACATGCTAAAAATAAATATTAGTTTCTACAAAGTTACAATTATGTAAAGCTACAAAGCATGGGTAAGTACAAAAATACAAACACTGGGCAGAGGAAGGCTTCACATCATTAACTGTGTACTAGTCCCAGTTTACTATCTTGGTCAGACCATAAGGAACAGTAATTGAGTTATAGCGTTTGTACAAATGCATGTTTTGTAATGTATAATAAGGAAGACATCTGTTTCCTATCCTAGCATCAATGATCATGTAGTTCAGCCATAACATTAATACTTCATAAAGCACAGACACACATACATATTCTACCCCCAAAAGGAAAGAATTCCTTTTTTACTGTGAAAGTCCTCTAAGACTTCAGCCAAAAACTACAAATTTCTGGTTTCAAAGCCTTATAATTAGTACCTAAGAATTTTCATCAAGCACAGACATAGAATGTAAACCTGAGTAACTTTGGGTGTATCTTAAAAAAACAAGAGTTCCTCCGGGCGGTGATGGCGCACGCCTTTAGTCCTAGCACTTGGGAGGCAGAGGCAGGTGGATTTCTGAGTTCGAGGCCAGCCTGGTCTACAGAGTAAGTTCCAGGACAGCCAGGGCTACACGGAGAAACCCTGTCTCAAAAAAAAAAAAAAAAAAAAAAAAAAAAAAAAAGAAAGAAAGAAAGAAAGAAAGAAAGAAAGAAAGAAAAAAGAAAAAAAAAAAACAAGAAAAACAAGAGTTCCAATCTCCCATCTCCAGACCTAACTAACAACATTTCCAAGTTGTTAAGCTGTCTAAGTCATGTGTTTGTTTTGTTTTTTTTTTTTAAAGTATAACCCTAGTTAAAATCTACCAGTTTAGAATATTTCAGAAAACAAGCCATGTGTGTTAGTGTGTGCACCTGAGACCCTGCCGAGTGGGAGACTGGAACGCTATGATTCTGACTTCAAGGTCAGTTTGGTCAACACAGTGCAACTGTCCAAGGAGAAAAACTAAAACCCCATGACCAGTTCTGCAAACTGCCCACGTCACTTAATGATCATCAGGTCTTTTCACAGGAAACAGCAGGTGTTCCTGAGACAAACATTTTGCTGTGATTCTAAAAACAGGAGAAGAAAATGGGAAAGTTTCACAGCACAGCCAGAAGTGGTCAGACCGATGCATCTAATCTGAACACAAACGCTTGGCAAAGACTTGAAGCGAAGAATCGGAGTTCACCCAGTTCTCCTAATACCTGAGTTCACTCCAGTGCCTCTGGAACGGGCATTTTCGGGATGGGATCATTTGGTATACGCCTGAGGAGTCTAGTTTCACTGAATTACCTGATATCATGATGCACTTCCTTCTCATACTTCTCGTCTCTACGTTTTTTATGACAGCAGAAGAGGATGGCCCCAATGAGCACAAGGGCCAGCAGCGTCCCTATGACAGCGCCTGCGATCGTTCCAGCTCGGTTGGAGGCTAGCAGGAGATTGCAACAAAATTAGCAGGACTAAGAAAACCTACCACATGGGGCTTAGTACTGAAAGTATGAGGTGATAGTGTGTGTGTGTGTGTGTGTGTATCTATCTATATATATGTATATAGATAGGTAGATAGATAGATAGATATAGAGAGAGACAGACAGATTAATTTCATTCCATATATTAACTTTTAAAAAAGATCAAAGCTTTTGTCTAGCAAGGAAAAATGTATAAAAATTATTTTCTTTTAAATGATATATCAAATTTTAAAAATGGATAGAATCTGAGTCCAACCTGTCTTGATTAGCACACAGAAATGTCACAAGCTTCTCATACTTTAATGGCTAAATAGTGGACCAAAGCTGATTTGACAACTTTGAGCTACTAAAATGGTAGTTCTATTGATAAAAGTGTCGTGTCTTCTTTTCTGCATGAACTAGGAAAATGGGCAAACACCAGTGTTCTGATCACTGTGAGTATCCTTGCTGTCATACGCCCTCCCAGAGTAAACTGAACCAGGCTAGGAGACACTAACAGAAGCGAAGCATATAAATGAATGTACTTACGGGGGACAACATCTAGTCGTAGCAAACACTGGTCAGAGCCCACTCTGTTTTGGACTGTGCAGCTGTATGTCCCAGAATACTCAGAACTGGCGTTTTTCACAGTTATAACCGGAGAAGTCATTTCTATGAAAGAAAAGAGGGAAAAGCTAATCTGTTTTTACAGGATTTATGGCTGTCAGTTTTTAATAAAGCTAATAATCCTTATGTAAGGTTGGCAATGCAGTAAAAAGACAGATAATGCTGGGTGCAGACAAACTGCCAGAGGCAGACGTGCATTCATACAACCAGCCTGCCGGTCCTACAAACAAGTTTACAGTTACTGTGATCCTTCAGCCACAGCCTCAGCTAAAGCAAGGTCTACTGCATAGCCATTATAATAATATATCACATGTAGGGTTACATTTAGCCAAGTTGTAACTTTTAAGCTCATGCTGTATCACAGAGGTTTGGTTTAAACTTGCACAGATAAGTTATGGGAATATCAATAAGAATCCAGGCAGAACCACCATGATTACACTCTGATACTTTTGCTCGCCACTGGTTTGAGACCATGCGTAGTTCTCAACATTAAAAAAGATCTACCACAGTAACCAATTACAATATGATAAAGGGGAAATCTTTATAAAAATATTGCTTCTTTGGGGACACTTGGTTGTGACTATAAGATACTGAATAACTTTCATGGTGATTTGAATTATTCTATATAGGCCAGGGAATTTAAAGTATAACACACCACTGAGTTTAAATCTCAATCAGTGACACAAAGGTACCATTTTGGTACCTGACAGGAGTAGTACCTGCTAGCCATGGAGTAGGCATTGTCTGGGAGTCTGACAACTTCTGCCATTCATACTGCAGTGGAAGGGAACCTTCTTTTGGTTCACATTTTAGCTTGAAGTCATTTCCAATCTCTTCCGATCCATCCACGAAGCATCTTGTGCCTGAAGGCTTAACTGAGAGGAAAGGAAAGAGATTATAGCTTTCTCCCAGAGAATGGGATTTGTCTTTCTAATGGATTACGTAAGCACCGGAAGCACAGAATATGATGCGTAGCCACTCGTCCCTTTATCAGCCAGTATGGGGGCTCAGAATGGACAAGGGAACAAGGAATGGTATGTTGTCAGACCAGTTTACGCAGCTTTGTCGGACACAGACAGGTAATGAGCTCAGGCAAGCAGCCATTGCATAAAGTCCGGCGCATCTCAGGTGCAGCGCAGCTCCGCCATTCCACAGGCACATGTCAAAAAAGCAGAGATGATGCGGCGGCTGGTGATGATGCTCCCAGAAGCTCCCCTCCGTTCCTTACCTATTTATTCTCTGTCCTTGGGAATGCAGCATCTGTGAGTACGTGGCCAAGTCATGTCTCTCTAGGTGTCGTTACTGGACAATCGGGGCACTTATTAAGAACACTGATCACCGGGACGATCCGTTTAGTGCAGCACAGACCATCTAACATTATGTATTTACAGGAATTCAAATCCATTCAGACAGCAGAGTCATACAAGGTAAATGGGAGGTTATCTTCCAGACCTCTGAGCAGTGGTTTAGAGGAACAACTAACCTCAGTACCTGCAACTTACCCCAACTCTGGCTTAATACCAAATATAATTGCATGCTGTTCTGCACCTCACTGAGGCATGACATTTATGAAATAAAATTAATATGTTAGCCAAGTGGGTTTAACAGATGTGCTTATAATAGTCATTGTTTGGTACTTTAGTAGGTAATTGCTTTCAGACCCTATGGGGATATAAATATGAGGACTTCTCAACTCCCTGACATAAAATGACAGTATTTCACTTAACCATTCACTTGACTTGCAATTACCTATAGACTGCCTGTAATACTTATTACAATGTAAATAATACATGGTGGTTATAATTACTGGGGGAAAATCATTAAGTCTGTATACTATATATACACAAATGTTTCCAAATATTTTTTGATCCACGGTCTGCTCAGTGTGAGGATGTGAAACCCAAGGGTAGAAAGGGCTAACTGAATACCCACTAAGCAGGAGTCATAACTTTTCTCAAGTTCTCTCCTGGGGGCTGTGGACAGCCTTACTTCAAACTGGCTCATCAGATTTCTATCAAACGACATAGATCTTTTCTCTTTCTGAAATCATGACTTGAATAATAAGGTTAGGCACTTTTTTTTTTGTCTTTTATTCCATGATTTTTGGAGAATAAGCTCATGATTCTGTATCAGTCATCATCATTGTTAAATGCTTATTACTGTCCCACTGCAGCAGCAAAAGCCAAGTGTGCCCCCCCCCATTCATCTACTGATGAATCCTGTAGTTTGGGGACACCTCTAAAACCTGCCTACACACACTCACCAGAACTGTGTGTGAGCTATAAAGTTAGAAGGGAGAGACAGGGAACAATGATCACCACTACACAAGAGGCAAACATCCATAAAGGATTTGTGGATACTCTCAAAACAGCAGAGATCAGCTCCCAGGCAGCTATTTTTGAAAGGAGAGAGGAGAGAGGGGACTGAACATGGAGTGGGGACTGTCATGGGGGAGGGATGGGGGAGGGCCCATGAGTAATTAGTATTCTAGTGAAGGTGTAGTGCAGGTTGGTCTGTGAGCAATGCTGGCCAAACACTAAGTCATTATTTTCATTTTCCTCTAAGACCTCCGGAAAAACAATGCTTCTTCCTATGAAGTCTGTGGCTGGCCTTACCATCTGTCTTCTAAGCCAGGGTTAATTGATTTCTTCCCCCCCCCCCCCCATCTAAGTCGGTTCTCATGCTTTCTGTCCTATGTGAGTTTTCCTTGTTTTATCATTATGAATAAAAATGTGTGTGTGTGTGTGTGTATACACACTTCTGACTCAACAATCCTGCGCACGCGCGCACACACACACACACACACACACACACACACACACACTAGATTTTAAGGGCCATTCCTGCTGATACCATGGCCATCAATGCTGTTCTGTACACAGTTATTCTGGGAATAGCTATGCAAATACCATCGCTCCCAATGTACCTCTTCCTAAATTTTGACAGCCAGCTGTCAGTCACCTCATTGAAGCATATGACTACCAATGTGAAACATTCTACGTGTACCTGGACTCAGAACTTCCTGGTAAGTACATAGTCCCCATAGTCACAGAGCCACCGCATCAGAATCTGAATAAGAGTTCAGACCACTTGTTTAAAGAAACTGTCACCAGCTTACACAGTTTACAAACATAAGGTCAGTCCATGTTTCCGTGATATAAACATAGCTATGTATCCAATGATGCCATATTCCCTTCTCTGGGTCCTGATTCAAGTGCACTTTCACATCATAAAAAATAATTTTAACTAAAACCAATTTAAAACAGAACATTCAGATGGAACCAATTTAAGACCAGGACCCCTTGTGTGCTAGGTCAGTGAGGTGACCAACAACCAAGCCAACCTTTCCAGTTACTATTGGAATGCAAAGGCCATCTCAGTTACTGCTCCTAGTCCCTGTCGCCTCACACAGGCATGCTTTAGAAGAGGCCCTGGCCAGGTACACTTGCCCATCTTACACTAAAACCAATCTAGAGATTGACAAGAGGTAAGTGTCCTACTTCATTATTCCCAAGAGTATCTTAAGTAATTCCAGCAACCAGCATTTCCTACAAAGAGTCAGTCTTCCCTGAACTCTGAGACACACAAGACAGGGAAATCACTACCATAATACTAAATAATCACTACCATAATACATAGAGCTGACAGCTGTGTTTTACTTCATGAAGTTAGCATACATTGTGTGTACAATCTACCACAAGGAAGTTTTAGACATAGAATTATAGAAACCTCTAGACATAAGAGTTATAGCCTTTCAGAGCCTCCCAGTTTGAAGAGATTAATTGTACACATTATTTCTGATTCTAAAGATGGATAACTGAGTTCTGACCGCTTACTAAGATGTTGAAGCATCACCCCTGTAACTATCCAAAGAAAGTTGAAGGCACCCCAGCAACTGTCTAATCCCCTCAGCTGAAGCACAGAAACAGCAGCAGCAAGGAGGTAAGTCTACATTCCAACTCATTCTACCATAGTGCATTGCCTCCAATTGAAACATCCCAGTAATGTGGGGGTAGAAAGATGGCTCCGTGGATAGGAGTGTGTATTAAAGCTCTTGCAGACAAGATGCCATATTCCCTTCTCTGCCAAGATACTGCCAAGTTCGACTCCCAGAACGCACATCTGACAGTTGCTAACTGCATAAAACTCCAACTCTACGGGGATCCGATGCCTCTGGCCTGTATGGGCACTGGTACACATATACATTGTACACACAGACATCCACACACACATAACTTAAACTAAATCTTTAAAAATACAAATAAATACTCTTGAGTAACTAATCATAGAAATCTCATCTTTCCTTAAGAAAGTAAAGGATTAAAACACAAAAACATTTTAAAGCTGAATGAGATCTTAGGCTTAATGATAATTAAACCTTCATGTTTCAACATGATAGGCTGAAGTCAAAGAAAATGAAAAGGTTTAATTCTCAGGGTAATTTCAGAAGAGAAAAAAAAAAAATGTGACATCAGTTAAGGTAACTCCAGGCTTAGTCAACTTGGTTTTTGTTTTCCCTTGCTATAACAAAATGGCTGAAGCTGAAACTAGATCACTATTTTGAAAGGAAAATTGTCTTTGCCTTGTAACTTTGGAGGTCCAGAGGCATAGTGTCAACTCTGCTTGGTTTCCAGTAAGCATTTCATGACCAAAGCAAAACTGACATTTGAAGAAGAAAGCCCTGAAGGGGTCAAAGAAGCTAATCAGCTGGATGATTTCACGATCAATGGTAATTGCTCTAGCAACATTGAACTACATCAATCCCTTCACAAGACTGGAAGTTCCCTGATCTAATTACCTAAAAGCTCCACCCACTTCCTAAGCCTCAGTGAGGTTTGGATCACAACATACTCAAACCATAGCAGAGTTCTACTTCCTAATTTTTACAAAGTAGGCAGTCCTTTCTTTCCCTGTTCAAAAAAAGGGAGACTAGCTGTTTTCTGCTGTCCAAGGATATCAGAAGTACTTTAAGGTGAGACCAGCCTTGTCTTCCATGAGGGCTACTACTCTATGCTGTGGCCACTGGCCCTGACACCATGGAACCCCCTGTGGACAATAGGAACAACAACTTACCAAGAACTGTCAGCAGAAATTTCCTATTTGCAACCCCAGGAGCCTTCTTCACTTTGCACTGGTAAGTGCCAATGTCGGACAACTGCAGGTTGGTTACATTTATAGATGCGTCACCAGACTTGACGTCATTACTTGTAAAATGTACCCGTCCTTTCAGATCCGGATAGTAGTTATCATAAATTTTGTCTCCAGAATACAAAATGATCTAAAAGCAAAATAAGAAAAGGTAAAACAAACAAACAAACAAACACCCATTTCATTTCATAATTGTTCCCATTTCACAATAAGATCCCTTGTTCTTATCCTGAGACTCGAAGGTCAAAGAATGGCACCAGGCACAAATAACAGGGTCACGGCTGGAACAGCTCCAGGTAACTCTATTATCTGTGTAGCATGGGCGGAAAATAACATACACGAATATCTTTCTCTCCCCAATGTTAATATAAAATGCAAAAGCAGGAAAATCCTGTGTTGGGAAGACACCAGCTATCCAAGCACACACAGGACAAGAAACAAAAGGGACACTGGGGCTCAGTTGTAGCTCTCTGCTCCATTTCAAATGGGGAAACCAAAGAAGAACAGGATCACAGAATATGTTCTATCCAAGATATCTCTTGATACTAGACAAAGAAACCTATCTCAAAACGGAACAAAACAAACAAGCAAGTGAACAAACAGGAAAACACTCAAATACACAAACAAACAACCCAACACAACTATAATCTACACAAATTTCTTGTCTCGGATGCCAATTATGTGCAGTATAACTGGAAAATGTCTCCCAAGGATCATTTATCTGAAGGAACTTCTGGAGTTTTCTGTATTTGACTCCTCTAGCGAGTCCACACGCCCTCCTTTGTATGTATGGTCACTGCCCGTCACCAGGTTCCATTCAACAGGTTTGTTGAGTACACACAGGAAAGGGCTGAAGGCGCCGGGACTTGGTCTGAACACACCGGCCATTACCTAGCCCCCGTCTTGCCACACCTCCTCGTCAACATCAATCAACATTCTCAAGCTTTAGCAAACAAGAATCTGACTTCCTGTCTATTAAACTTCTCGTGTTCAAACAACTGTACCTCAGAAGCTCATTCAGGCATACACACCTCACCAGACACGAGCGCGTCCACGGTGAATGACCCTGTAAGCTACCATAGCGTTTTCCTAAGGACTGATTACGAAATGATGCAAGCAGCACTCACCTGATGAGTTTACTTGTCTTTACTAATCTCTCTTTGCAATGTGGCAAGAATGGTGGAACTGCCTGTAACTGTCCCCTTGTAACATTTACCCTAAAACAGTGCTGACTCTTGTCGCAGCAGTTCATACAGACTTAGCTACGTATCAGCCAGACTTGCTTTCACTTGGCACTATATGTGACTGACATTTCTATATTATTTCCAAGCTGACAAGATATTTGTGTGTGCAGTATTTCATTGACATATGTCCCTTTTCTGCCGCGTGAGGAAATGTGCTTATGGAACATGGGAGATGAGGAAGGCCAATGCCATGGATAACAAAAGCACAGGTATGAGAACTGTAGAATTCTGGGTTCAAATCCCACCTACTAGCTGTGTGACGTTGGACTTGTTCCTTCACATCTCTGAGCCTGTTTCCTCACTTTCATAAGCCTAACCACGCTCATCTCTCAGAGTCTGATTAAAGCTTACCTACATACAGTCATGTTCTGCAGAGAGAAGCTTCTGTCAAGCCAAGAGTGTGTACAATGGTGGGGCCATAAGACTACGTCATAGCTCTCTCATGTTTGTGTGTACGCTGTGATGCCCAAATGATTGTAAACGTCATATGGCGATATTCTCAGAAGATATCCTTCATGCTGAAACAGGCATGACTGCCTAACTGAAGACCACCAACAGTATGTGGTAAAGGTCACACAGGGATAATAGTAGACGTTTCTCCAGCCCAGTCTTCCGACTTCAAAGTCCTTAGCTACCATCTATAAGGTTAACTAGATTCAAACCGGCGTTCAGTGGACAAATGGTATAGTTAGACTCCTACGGAAGCATTGCTCTTTCATAGGGAGCTCTCCTTACCTGCCATCTTCCTTTTCATTGGATTTTACTGTGTATTAAACCTGCAGCCAGGCTTTTAGCCCAGAAATGACACTCCAGAGCAAGCACAATTCCTGTGCTGCATCCTTAGCTCGTAAGACTTGGGACTCTCTCACCATGAACAGACAGGCTATGGCTCGAGGCACACTATGCTTGCTGGTCTCTACGTACAGCTCACCAGACTTCACTGTCTCTTTGTAGCTCAGAAGGACTGAGGACTCTTCTATGTTAACCGCAGCCTCAGACTCCTGAGCAGGACAAGGAAAGGGAGTGCCAGACGTCATAGAAATGTGTGTTCAGAGTACAGACATCTTCACAGCGAGAGACAGGGGAAGTCAGAGTGAGAATGGTGGAGAGGACCAGGGTACCCCTCGGGCTGATGAGAGTAAAGGAGGCAACTCTGCTCTATGGTTTTTTTGTGGTGTGTGTGTGTGTGTGTGTGTGTAGTTTGTGGGTTTTGGTTTGGTTTTGTTTCCTTAGGAAAAGGTCTGATGACACAATCAGACTAAACAGAACAGAGGAAATCCATAGTCCAGATCACTGACAGCGAAAGACACTGACAGCTTCTTTACCTCCTTCACAAATATCTGGATTTCTCAAAAAAATACACATTTCCGGGATGCACTAATTCAGCCATTTAAAAGGAAGACTTTGGTTTTCAGTTTTAAAATAACGCCTTCTCTCTTATTTGGACAATAAAGTAAACTTGTAACTGTTTTTTTTGAAAGAGTGACATTATGTGGTGCAGGCTGTCTTCAACCTTGGCATTCTTCTGCCTTATTCTCCTGATGAGGGAATGGCAGGTGTACACCACCATGTTCAAGGTCTTACAGCTAAACACTGCATCTGCGTACTTACATCACTATACCCCGTGAAAACCTGAACTTACTTCCTTACCTCTGCTCCAATGTTTAGTTAAATGAAATATATCAAATGACGTTGATATATAATGTTCTGTATAAAGTGAATACTAACCTTGCAAGTAAATATGGTCTCGTGTTCTGTGTTGTTGTCTCCCACTACCACCCTTTATTGGTTTTGTGTGTTCTGAGAACAGGCTCTAGGAAAGGGACCTATCACCAAGATTGAGTACCTGCCTTCAGCTCCTGGGATCCACAAGGAAAGACTCAACTTCCAAAGCTGCCCTCTAACCTACCTCCACTGGTTCATCAAACTATGGCACATGCATGTGACTAGGCACACAACTAAATAAAAAGTCAAGGAAAAACAATAACAAAGATCTCATTTCCTTCCTAAGTAACTCATCGTATAGGATAATAAACATGGAGAAATACGGAAGGAAACTAGATCCTAACAATAAGACTGCATACCTTTCTTACAGTATATTATATATCTTGTATCTTCTTTAAGAAACTTGCTTCACTCAAAAAGTCCCTAACAGGAATGTACACTGCTGTGTGCCTGCTCCAGATACCCATAATTCCCTGCTCTGTCCCCTCACACGCATGCCCAGACTTTCAGAGGCTTCCCTAGGTCCTTGAAGCAGCCTTCTACTCGCTGTTCCTTCACATTCTTTACATATGCTGTATCTTCTGGGTGTGTCAACACATAGTATGACAGTGTTCCTCACATCACACCTGAGCAGCTGACTTTCTCCTAGGCCCCTGCACCCAAGAGCCGCACTGGCTTGTATGGAGTGACCAGCATTGATCAAAACTCACCACTTGATCCACTTTCTGGTTATCAGACGGGGATAGCAGCCATTCAATGTCCAGTGGTCCCTGGTCTTCGGTGTCAAGAGTAAACTTGCATGGTAAATAGGCAGTTTCCCCTTTAGCTTTTTCGATCCTCTGTTCAGGTGTAGTAATACTCAAACCACTGGTGAAATCTGGAAAAAAAGAACCACATACATGGGACTAAGCCTCTGCTACTGCCCTGGGACACAGCCCTGGGGCTATTCATGGGAGCACAGTGATGTGGGGTTTGGGTTCAATGCAATGTAGTTCAAGGTCTGTGGTGCCTTTGTGATGACCCATTGATACTTCAATAACCAAACAATTCCCTTTAAAAGGACTGTAAACTTTTCAAACACAGGAAAAAAAAAAAAAGCACTATTTATGGGCTGAAGCCTGGAACTGAGAAGCCTGTCTCCGCTGACCAAGTATTGGGATTAGAAAGGTGTACTACCAAGCCTGACTATAAAACTAGTTTTGGTACAGCTGAAGATGGAGCTCAGTTGCCTAGTTTGTGCACAGCTCTACACTTAAATTTAAGGAACGTGAACGGCTGGCTTTTTGTTTGTAGTTTTGTTTGGTTTTGCCACTGAACATGTGGTTCACGTCTTTAATTCCAGCACTAGGGAGACAGAGGCAGGAGAATCAGAAGTTAGAGGCTAGCTTAGGAGACAGGGCAAGACTGTCTCAGAAACAGGAAGGGAAAGAAAGGTTTGCCATCAACTGGAGTAGCACATTCCTGAAACCCAGCACTAAGGGAGCAGGACAGACGATGGAGGGTTTGCGCACCCATGCCCAGCTCCATAGAACCCTTTCTCAAAACAGGAAGCCAACACTGCGTTAGAACACTTGCCTAGCGGTTAAAAGGCTCTGTGGGTTGGTTCCCTGAGTACCACCAAAAAAAAAAAAAAAAAAAAAAAAATCAAGATTCAAAGTATGAATAGTCTAGTGATTAGCTTGACTTACAACACGAATTCATCTATAATTCATTTAAAGGGTACGCCTTTAAAACTGTTTACAACATCATCAAAGTCTCCCCTGCTCCAGTTTGTCGTGTCTGCTAGGTTTTCTGTGACCACTTTTTGTTTTCTTTTGTTCTTCTGAGTCAGGGTCTTACTCATTGAGCCAGCCTGGTCTGGAACTCACTTTGAACTCTGGGCGTTCCGCTTACCTCAGGTTCCTAAGCTGCTGGTATTTTACAGGCATGAGCCGCCACCGGCAACTCCAATAGAAGCCCTATGTATCAACTCAAGCTTCTCGTTGTCCAGGGCATGAAGCTTCACCATTGGTACTAAGAGCAGCCGCTTTACCGCTGGAACCACCTACCCTTCCAGATGTTCAGTGTTGGACAATTACACAACAAAGTCTAGACACTGAGATCATGAATGGTACCCAGGGCCTGCCTCTCTCCACCCCAACACTCTGTCCACCTTCCCCCTCCCTTCATCTTGTGCTCAATCAATCCCAAGTCCTCACTCTCCACAGCGACTATTTGATGATGGTTCTCCAATAATGTGTGGTATTGTCCTTTCTACTAGGTGAGAAGTAATCTTAATACGCTACCTATCAGAAATAATATTAGTGTTGGTGAAGTTGAAGAACAGGAGCTAAAGAGATGCCACCATCTTAAGCTTATAACAGTATTTAAGCACATTCCTCAAACAGAATAAAAATGAGTACAAATCCTCCACATTCTTAAGTCGGACCAGTGAAATGGAACAAGAATGTGCTGGGCGAGATCCAAGGTGAGGCCGCCAGATGCCCTGCTAAATCCACTCTCGAAACTCTGTGGGAAATACCTGGGGTGTCTCACCAGCAGTTGGGACTGTCCAAGATACAACCACACCAGACTACCAACACCCTCTTCTAGATTAGCTTCTGCAGCACCCAGGGTGAGCCCAGAACTTCCTTTCTCAGCCTAGCCTATCCCAACACCCACTGATTTCTGGGTTGAGCCTCTAAAATTGGGGCTGGTTTTTTACACAGCAAAGGTTGACGATCGATCCCCCATCTAAACCTACTGGCTGAGACCATGCGACTGCTTAGCATTGTCCTGAACATCTTTTGGCCTTTGGTCTGTCTCATGTCTACATATTTATTTTATTAAAACACGGTTTGACACTGGCATCTCTAGAGTCCTTGCTGAAGAGATATTGGAACTTTTGGGATCCTGTTTATAAACTCAGTCCTGTGCCTACCTCCTTTTCAGAACACAAGTCTACGACCTCACCACTTTTAAGTTTTCTGTTCTTCCGGCTAGGATGTACCGTACCTGTTTCCATGTATGCCTTTAGCTCATGCTGGCATTAGTGTTTGTTTTCCTTTAGAAATCAATGGCACTGCTGACTCAGCAGCCACATCCCACTGCACTTCCTCAGTACTGGACTGCTTTTCCTCCCAATGCTGCCTTGGAGTTTTAGGACCCATCCTGATTTACATAACATGATTTGTTTCTTCAAGGGGGAGGGAACCTGGAAGGACCTCAGTCTCTTAAAATAGCCCCTTGTTAATTGCTGGAAAGAATTTGAGATTGAATTATATTCTGTTCAATTTCACAACTTTCAGGAAAATGCAAAACCTGCCTGAAGAAAGTCTCATCCTTCAAGTGGTCTGTCTTGTCTTCCCCTTCCCTGGTGGACAATGTGCTTAGGCTATATGCAAATACTCCCGGATTTTATATGTGCACTTGCAAGTGGGCACTCTCGGATACCAGGCCAGGAGATGCTATTCTGCATGAGATATTTTAAGCAAGCTTCGTAAATGACTTTCAAGTATTTCTTTTTTTGAGATGTGTTTGCTCCTCACTGGGTTGTACTAAAAATGTACTGAAATCTCAAGACCCTCACAAAAAAAGAGTTCTCGAGTCTCCTAGCAACACTAAGAGCTCTTTCCAGAGGCATTCTTTTTTTTTTTTAAGTGTTGAAGTATGCACCAGTCAGAATTGTATAAAACAAAAGACAGATATACTTGGTCTCATGCAGTGACTCTGCTCACACTGCAGTAAACTGCAGGGATGGAGTAACTCGAAAGCTACTTGCAGGTTCAAACAGCTCTTGTAAACTAAATAAAGTATAATTTTATTCAAATTGATTTTCAGGGTTTAATAAAATACATGGTACAAAAAACTTCAGGCCACAAGGCCTTCCAGAGGCCACTTATGGGTGCTCAGAACCAGAGTATATAAACAAACAGTGACGCCCATCCCACATGAATGCTAACTGGAATAACATCTCCCGGCCTCCTGCTTGCTTTTCTTATCTCCAATTTCTAAATCAATAGGGTCTTTGGAGATTCTCTGCTGCCCAGGCTAACTGAACATCAAAGTGATGAGACTTCATCAAAGAGTATTCCTCAGCCCTTGATGTCACCACCGACTAAGTCCTTAGGAGATCCGATTCTACAAAGAAAGGCACAGAGAGCAAAGGGAAGAGTCAGTGCTCCAAGGGGAGGCAGTCCCCTGGATAAACGGCAATGCGCTATCCCAGAATAAGCTAACTTTTCAATATGAATGGTTCTCAATGAGCTTTTCCTTCCTTTCATTCTTTTTTTTTTTTTCCTTCGGTGACAGGGTTTCTCTGTGTAGCCCTGGCTGTCCTGGAACTCTGTAGATCAAGCTGGCCTCGAACTCTCAGAAATCCACCTGCCTCTGCCTCCCAAGTGCTGAGATTAAAGGCATGTGCCACCACTGCCTGGAGCTTTTCCTTTCAATCATGCAAATTAGAAAATGTTAAGGAAATTTAATGTTGGTATTTTTCTTTCTTGTTTTTTCAGAGAAGTAAAGGTAAGAGCTTTAAATTATTTTGAGTAAGGATGCTTAGAGAAAAGTTTGTTGTTGTTTTAAGAAATTGGGAGGGAGAGACGGCTATGATGGGAAAGAAAATATTTACTATAAACACTTGAAGTTGGAAATCACCACTTTGCAAAACGACAGAAGAGCTTCAAACAAGGGGATGCAAATAAGAAACCAAGTATCTTACGTGGTGTCGTAAATGACAGAGAGGAACGGCAAGTTTGGAGTGGAGTTTATATAAGCTCCCAAGCTTACTATGATGTGAGAAAAACTTTTAAAGTATATTTGCAGGGCCGGGAATGGGGGTGCCCACCTTCAATCTCAGGTTACTTGGGAGACAAACTCTGTGACCTAAAGGCAACCTGACCTATATATAATAACAAGGGTCAGGCCACCAAAGCTACATCGTGAGACCTTATGTCACAAACCAAAACAGAATAACAAGTATACTGAGAAAAGAAGTCAGTGAGAAGGGTGATGATCTGTTTGACTGCAACCACCTGACTTGCTACAAATGGGACAATTTAGCCCAGTGAGAAGAAGATCAGAGGAGGGAGGCATGGAGGCGTGGAGCAGGTTTCTTAGTGCCATCCTGCCCAATGCTACAATGGCCAACATATCACTGTGCATTTGTCCATTATCTGTATCATAAACGGAACCATAGATTCTGGGTGATAGAAATAGGTCACAGGTTCATCAAGTCTTAGCAGCTGGATCCCTTGGGCAGGGACCGCTGAGACAGGGAGGGTTTTGGCTGTGTAAAATAACCCAAGGTGTGAGGGAACTCCTTGTACCTCACATTCAATTTAAATATATAATCTAGAACTACAGGAATACAAATTAAAGCAATGTGATATTGTGTTCCACATATAAAGCTGATTAAGTGTTTAAAAAGCAAATTTGCCAAACAAGAAGACTCACGCCTATAATCCCAGCACTTGGAAGCTCAGGGAGTTGGGGCTAGCCTAGGCTTCATAGCAAGTTAAGGGAAGCCTGAAACATAAGGAGGAAGATTCTGTCTCAAAACCAAGGGCTGGGATTGTAACTCACCAGAGGAGCAATCACTTTCCTATCAAAACAAAAACCAAACGAACGAAAAAACCCTTTGACGTGGTAAAACTGAATCTCATTTACATGAATAAAAGTAGAGCTAAATATCACCCTTTTGGTTTAATTTCATTTACCTAATGATTTAATCAAATCATAGCATTCAAAGGAATATTGCCTTAGGCAGACAATGTATAATACAGCACACTAATACTAAATACTGAATACTCCTGGAGAATTAGGCTATGATTGAATGTTCCCAAAATCCATGTGGGAAAGTCCCTTTTATGACTTGGAGACACTGCCCGTAAGGTAAGA